ATCGGGCTCAGCTGGTCCAGAAAGGCATGTAGGTGTGAAGCACCTGCAATCGTGATTTTCCCGAGCCACTGCCTTTAAGCCCTATCAAAATCCAGTATCATCTTTGGAAGGAAAACTTAGGGGTTCCGAGTATCATTTGCTGAATGATGCTTACTCATGATGAATCTGAAAGATAATATCTATGTTATCTACTGGATGTTTTCCAATTCATCTTCATCGGAATGATGTTCATTTTTCGTACAAAGACCCTACTGCCCAGTCAAATCGAACGATGAGTGCAAGTAATTTGATGTTTTCTAAGGATATGCTTCCAATCCTTAAGAACTTGTTTAAGGATCGCCGGAGCCCCTGTCTACTTCACCCGCCTCACTTTCGCTACGACCACCTGTTCTGGATGGCTCTTTGCAAAGTGAATTTTGACAGAATATTCTTGAAGTGAAATCATCGTTTCAGTGGAAGCTACAGCTCTATCGACAATACCATCTCTGAATCCGTTTTCAATGAGTTTGCAGAGCACACAACTGGAAGAGTAAGTCGTTCCAGTTTCACCTAAATTACAAAAAACTCTTGCCATACAGCCCATCTTTCGCCTTGACCATGGAAGATATGGAGCTAATCAAGCAGCATCTCAAAGCGAATGGAACTTTCAACGAGTCCCAAGAAGTAGGTATGGCTCAACAGTGCGATCGATCGTGCCTGGCGGATAAGTTGAGATGTTTCCTCGAGAAATTTCGATGACGATCAGCGTCCTGACTAACGATGCACGCGCTTCCATAGAGGCCGGAAACACCGGTTCATTCATCATCCAGTCGCGATTACGATAGCTTTAGCTTCGCATGGGTAATCGCCTCCGGACTCTCCTTGCTATATAAGGCGGCCTGCTCACTTTCGTCTTTATTGATCATTTTTATGTACGATCACGTATGGCATCATCATCGTGCCTTGAGCTCCCGCATTAAGACTATTTTTTGTTATAAGTCAAGACGTCGAAGCGTTTGTTCGAGGAAATCTAAGCGCAAGACGCGCAGCGATGAAACGATGTTGGAATTGTGGGTGAACTAGGTTTATCGGGAGCGAAGTGTTGCACCGTTTCCTAAGGGTCCTGGCGACTGGCGACGAATCTGCTGAGCAAAGCCTTGGATTTTCATGATTGGAGATAAGAGTATT